TCGGGCCACATGTCTTCTAGTTTTCCCTTTCTTGGCCTTTTAATTTCCGTATTTGCCCTTTTTCTTTATTTGCCCTTACTCTCCAGCAGAGGTCGAAAAAAAGACACCGGAGGTCCAGAAAAAAATATCTCGGGGTCCGAAAAAAGATCCGGGGTCAGCTACAAGATGTTTCGGAGCCGAGGAAAAGACTGCTCAAATTAATGCATAGAGGTTTAAAAAATGATCGTGCTCTTTTTCTAGGCCTCATCGCGGGGCCGAAAAAAGATAGAGGTCGAAAAAAAGACCTACCGCGGTCGAAAACAAGATGAACCAATCGCGCGGTCTGGAAAAAGACATTTCGGGGTCGAAAAAAAAGCAGCCTTTTATATTGCTGCATGTGCCCATTTCATCACAAAGAGAAATAAGAGCTCGATCCCGCATGAATGCTTTGGGGGAGCGAAGGCTCGCATCGACCGCTGAAAAGTGTCACAACAACAGGTACATGTGGGTCACAGCCAACGTCTTGCGAGTACTGCAGACTCGCAGATCTACCAAGCAAAGTGTCACTGATGATGAATATTTAGGTGAATGACAGGGAGACGGGAGACATTCTCGATTCCAGAGACATTCACAGCCTTTAACATAGGACTTGACGGCGCAAGCAAACGTTGTATCGCCCACGTATCTCCTTCTGCAGTCGGCATGAGAGATGATAGGCGTGAAGATGGTACCCCGTATCATTGCTGTACCATAACCAATGTTGGTGTGGGGTTTCCAATTCCACAGCAATATGGCGTGTAGGGACGAGCACGGCAACCTCGTTGCCCAAATACTCAACCGTAAAGGTCGAGGGATTGCTGCTGACCGCATCCCACGAAATGGGCTCTTCTTCACGGTGGATGACAACGTGGACAACTGTGGAAATAGCTTCGCGCGTGAGGTTGACCTGGGTCAATCTAGTATATATATATAGGGTTGACCCCAAACTCTTCCAATTGTCACACATCATCCGCGTTGTTTTGCCTGGCACAAGAGAAGAGTACTTGTGACTTGTGCAAGCTTCGTAAGGAGTGAGTCTGACAGCTCTTCTACTTCAGAAATATCGATGCTTAGCGTCCTCAAGGCGTTGACAAACGCCTGGTGCTGAAAAGCGGAACATCTCAAAAACAGGAACTGCCTAACATTGCAGGCCCAAATTTCATGCACCTTAGCTGTTCTAAGAATAGCTTCTAAATAGGAGTCGTCCTTTTGCAGCTGAGTACAGTAACAAGCAACTTGTGATTGAAAAAAAATCAAAAGAACAGATGTCAACTTGCGTGGACAGCATGAGGAGGGATTGCGAAGGCAACGGATTCATGTGTATCTGCAGCCCTGGGTATGTTCGCTCCCTTAGCACGAGCTAATTAACCGATGAGGATTTGGTGAACAGAATCCAAGTTGCATCCAGCTGTCCAGCGCATTGCTATTGAAGAACTTGAAACCAACGGCGGCACGAAGCGAAATCTTCCATGTGTCATTTTGCTGATCCACAAAGATTTCTTTGTCAGCAAAGGGTTGAAGTTTCCGCACAGTCGCCCAAGATAGAAACGCTTTTTTGCTCTTTTGCCCTGGCTTAGTAACAACTGGTGAAGGAATGACTTCTTTCTGACTTCTGAAATGACAAGGCTCAACTTGATAGTTAGAGCTCATGTCATACTTGTTTCGGACATCATAGCCTACGAAGTCATGCAGAAAGCCTCCATTTCGTTAGTGCGACCAACAAGCTGCAGGATGTCCTTGACCGAGACGGGGTCAATCAGAGCTATGCTCGAGCTAGCCTTGATATGAGATGAGTTAGAGACTGCGTCGAGATGGAACTTTGCAACTGTTGAGACACCGACAGCGTAAGCTTCACTTTCTTCAACAACAGAGGAATGAGAGGCCAAGACAATATCCACTTGAAGGTCAGACTGAATGAGATGTTCCATAAAGTGTCTCCAAAGCTCTTGGCAGGTTTCTTTGCAAGCTGTTGCTCTTGCTATACATGCCGAGCACGGAAGTACGTGGCCACTCGTTGATCTTCCTTTTCTTAGTTGAAACACTTATCGCGGTAACCACTTTGCAGAATGCGAAGGGTTGTGCAACACGACCCAATGCAATGTGGCCTACGGCAAAACAACCATCTTGCAAAAGCGACATGTTAACCAAAGTATTGCAGCTACTCCTGCAAAAAAGGGCTGGCAAACCAGAACGCGAACGGGCAGCCAGTAACCCCTTCCTGCTTTTGGTCACTGCAGTGTACAGGTAGCTCAGCAGGATTCTCCAAAAGCAGTGCGTCGTTCTCGTTCTTAGACCCAGATAACTTCTTACCTTCACCAAAGTGTGATCCAAACGGATAGTTACCAGAAACACAAGAAGTGAACTGTGCAAGCAGGCTGCACGTAGCACACAAAGAGCAAGGAGGCCCACTGCAGGGTACACCCTCCCCGAGTCTCAGGGCCTTCAACACCACCAAAAAACTGGCCTGTAGCCTACTTACGGACTCCCAGTGAGAGATGGCAAAAAGTGGCCAGCAAACGCTCCCCTCCTACGCATAACGACTGGATATCTAAGCCAGTTTCGAGCCGAAACGCCTTGAGCCAAAGGGGTTACGGATATCGACCTGCAGAACCCATTGAGATGCGCCTTGGCACTGTGCTTTGCAGCAGTTCTTGCCATGTTGGCAACTAAAGGCCAACTGAAAGAAATGGAGCTTGAATTGGAAAACTGTTGCAGACTCTTACTTCTCACTTGCACGTCCAAAAACTCATCAGATTTTGCCTGTGTTCCAGATGAGTCCTTATTCTATTCGGGAGTCGCAGAAAGCAATGTTGGAGCCTTATATAATTAGAATATGGTTTCGGGGTGTATTAATTATAAACATAGCTATAACAAGGAACACCCAAAATAGTATAGGCAGTTTAGGCAATTATTAAGGCCCCTTTATTAAGCAAAGGTCCTGATGCAAACCCCAACACGTATTCATGTTTCGGATGATCAAGTGTTTTGTTGCAAATTTTTGTGTATTGAAAGTGTTTCAGGATAGTGGTCTTTCGTTTTATGCACGAGTATGTTTTTGTTGCATGTTATTTTTTTTGCATGCTGCTTTGGCATGTGTAGGATGTGTTTTGGCATGGTAGGACCAGGTTGAGAGTGCTTTGAGCTGCTGTTTACTCGCTTCGTGCTTGCCGCCTTTCGTTCGTTCCCGGAAAAAGTGATTATGCGCTTGGATTGCCTTGAGGCCTTTTACCGTTGCAGCTGTGAAGCAAAGGAGGTTTGGAAACTGAGCAGTGTTTGAACTCAGTGTTGGAAGGGTCCACGCCACGCCTGCAAGCGTTTTGCTAAGTCCTCCACTGTTTACCTGGGACCCTGCAACACTTTCAAAGTCCGTCTTCCACGGAGTTCCGGCCCCAAAAGCGCATTATTTTCAACACACTTTTGCGGTTACGCCATTCGGGAAATCTCATCAACAATCATGGTTCTGCTCCGGTTTTACAATGCTTCGTGACGAGATTCCTGGTTGTGTCGCAAATTCAAGCTGCATACGAGGGTTCAGATTGAAATACAAGAATGTGTTTTGGTCAACTGAAATCGATCGCGATCTAACGTTCATTCGTATGGTTTTTTACTTATGTAATACTGATGGCAAAGCCAGCATCAACATCTTCATGGTTTCCGACATGAGCTATTGTGGCTTTTGAAATATGTGTAGTTTGTCGAGCATTCAAATTTCGCATCCTCTTGTTTCTTCCAACGATACGAAACCTCATAGTTATGCAACGATAATCAATAATGTTGAAAACCATCGTTTCGCTCGTGTAGGCATCTGTTCGAAGACAGTTTCATGTCGCCATGGGCATTGCTTGTTCGGCGGGCTACGGCTCCCATACAACAACAAAGCAGCTGGAGTACGTCCACGAAATGTATTTCCCCATGAATGTGGTCAAGGCTGACGGTTGTGACATGTGGGATCAGTGGGAGCTCGCATAACCTTTACTAGATGGTGTTGACTGTCTCGTAAACTTCAACGTGTGTCATCCCTTGAACCAATGGTGTGCGAACATGCGCGCACCTACGCTCTTGGCAGTTCGGAGGCAACCTCAACCCGAAAACACGCATGCAGAAACTTCTTTCGAGGTGTCGGATGTTTTGAAGATGGACAATATGCCGCTTCCACACGTCGAACTTGAGAAGCTTGGTTTGCTTCGCAAATGGCCCAGTGGCAGACATTGTTTGCAGCTTTTGCTTCTGGTTAGTTTTTGGAAGTTGTGGCGAATGCTTCACACATCTGGCCTTGTTTTTCTTTGCTGTGGCAAGGTGTCCAGGCATGTTCACCGTTTTCGTTTCTCACCAATGGTTGGGAGCGGTTCATCCTGATCCTGGTGGTCGGCAGTTTGCCATCCTCCGTGAGACACTGCAAGGCATTGTCAATGGATCCCTGGAAGTGGAGGCAGATCCAATTACAGTCTTGAATGCGAGCCTGGAGAAGGTTGATGCAGAAACGCGTGAGGCAGGGATCCAAAACGCGGATTTTGAATGTTTTCTTGCCGCAAGGTTTATCGCGAGATTGCAGTTTCAAGCTGTGCCGTTTTCACATTCAGGCGGTGCGCAATGGATACGTGTTCTTGGACTGGTTCGCGATACCACACATCTCCGCACGTATGCGGGAAGACCAGACACAGTCTGAAGGCTTGCTGGCAGTGCGGAGCATTCCGGCCTATGTGGAGGTTGCGGACCTCTTCGTAGCGCTTGTCCCGAATTTGATGCGAGAGAATGGCAGTGTCTGGGCTGCATTGTGTGGGCCCGATTAATTAGTAGATCTACGTTCTGCGATACCGATCGTTGACATCGCTAAACTTTTTTTGGGTTAGAGCAGCACAGGCATCTGCAGCTACAGTTCATGGTTGTCGAGGGGTTGGTGCGTGGCGGAGCTCTGGTGCCGCCTTCTGTCCTGCAAGCAGAACACCAGTGTGATCGTCGTGCATTGTCCCAGCGAGGTGAAGTTCATTCACCCCTTTGACTGGCAGGATAGGGTTTGAACCTTCGTGAACCCGCATTGCTGGGCTTCGTCATTGCTTCTAGAGCTCGTTCCTAATGAGTAGCATTGGCTTGTAGCAAGTGCTGGCAGGCGAATCGCATTTGCGAGGGCGACTTTACGGTTGAGGAGGATCGGGCCGAGGTGTCTCAGCTCGGTGCTGTAGCGCTGGCGCGCAAGATGACATTTTTGGCCAGCCGAAGCATGTGGGATGTGTATCGCTTCTTTGTTGCACAAAGCCCAATGATGCTGGGCCAGGCGAGCAAAGCACGCAGCATGGAAACTTTCCTCAGTGACTTTCGTTTTGATGATTTGGATCATGCACGAGTCAAGCGTGGCATGAACGGCGTGATGTGTGCAGCCTTTTCCGAAGACATCGGGATGTTGCGACAACTTGTAGCGACTCCGGCTGATGCCAACTTCAAAGTAGAAGGTCTCCTCGAACTGGGTTTCTTCGATGGACAGCCAGCATTGGGGCTGATTACCAGATCGTGCTCGGTCGAGGCGGGGAAGTTGCCAGATGTAGTTGAACTCACTAGGAATTTGAGGCTTCGCAGTGGATTAGCAAGTCAGGTGGTCTCCACCTTTCTCGAACTTGGCGCCGATGTGCATGCACAAGATCAGAATGGGGCGAGTCCCATTTGCATGGTAAGATCCCCAGAGCATCTTGGTTGAAGCTTGGGCGACTGCTTGTGCAGGTGTGAGATCTGAAGGGATTCAGGCTCACCTTGCTGTGCTTGCACTGTGTATGACATGTTAGTTGCATTTCAGGCACCTGCGTGTACTGGCTGAATTCGGCGCTGACTTGCATTCGCCAGTCTTCCCACTGGGGCTCTCGCCCATGACGCTGGCCATGTCGCACGCTTGCCCCCGAACGATTGAAGCGATGCTTTCTCTGAAGTGTGACCCGAACCCAGAGACTCATGGTCTCGGATATGGGCCGCTTCATGCAATAACTGCCTTTTCTCGCGAGAACAAGCATGCAGAAGACATTGCACGACTCCTACTTGCGAACGGTGCAAACTTGAACTTCAAAGCGCATCCCGACGGCTTTTTCAAGGCGATCACGTATGGAGCCCGTGCTTACTATGCCGTCTTCAGGTTTGAGTGCAGTTCGCTGATGAGTGTCAAGGTATTAGCATCTTTGCCCGGCTTGACACCCGTGGCATTTGCTGCTCTGCTCGGTAGCACGGCGTTGGTTCAGATTTTCATGGACGCCGGGGCAGAGATGGTTGCCAATCACCGTGGAGACTTCCCAGACGATTTGGCAAGAGCAAACTTCCATCACGACTTGGCGATAGAATTGTCCTTCTTCAGCATTTGAGTGAGAGTGCTCGTAAGCTGCTAGTAGATGCAAACAAGCATCCCAAGACAAGCCTGCCGTTTTGCCCAGCAGGCAGTTAGTCGGTTCGTTTGATCAGAGGCTCCCAGGCAGCTCTTGGCTCTTGAGCTGCTGCAACTGCCAGTTTCGTCTTTTGCCCGCCAGCTACACCGTTTGAACATGCCTTTGGATTTTCTTCACATCGTTGGGACAAAGGGAACACCAACTTCTAGTCAGATTCCTTCGTGTACCAACAGGGGATGCTTGGGGACCACTCGTTTTCGGAAGCTTTCGATGGCTTTTCCAATTCCTTCAGGAGACATCATTCTCATACCTCAAAGTGATCTTCACTTCGCAGGTTGCAAGCTTCTGCTTCAGAACGGTTCTGTCCACAGGTTCCTTTTACATGCAGGCTTTAAGGATAATCGTCTTGGACGCCATTTCTGTCGGAGTGCTTTGTGTGCCAGTCGTACTTTGCAATTTCGCTGAGAATCACGGGCCTCGGGTTGAACATGGTAGAGAATGTGCTACCCTTTTTGGAAACGTCGGTCCGAGCCGCTAAGCGGCATGGACATGCTCGTCAATAAATCGAAGTAAGACTCTTGTGCGGATGCTGCGGGCTCGCTGAGCAAGAAGATCTTGTTCAGGCTCCTCAGCTGCTCAGTAGCCGAATCTGTTGAACAGCGGTGGAGAAATTTGATATCTCTGCTCCATCAAAATTCCACGGACCTGACGCGCTCAGCCTCTCGGGCCAGGTCATTTTCTGTCCATTGGCCGCGAACACTTTGCAGTGTCACCAGTCCTCAACTGTGGCTTTAAATGCGCCGGACAATTCAAACAAATGCGTGGATGGCCGCAGACTGTTGCACCTTTACCGGGGTGCCAGCTACGGCACAGATGTTTACATTGCGGTTTCACCCTCATCGGAATTCCTCAGTTTGGGTGGAAAGCCGACGAGGGGAGTGAACTGCAGTGCAAAACCACCGTCCAGTCCAAGGCTTGCACGCAGGACCTCTGAGCGTCATCTGAGTTTGCTTTCCACGAGGCATGAAACATGGATTTCTGTACCACTTGATTTCAGTCCTTGAAGCCTTAGCCGCCTTAGCTGTAGACTTGAAGACCCAGACTACCACCATAGCTGTCCTACTCATGTCTTGACTGTTAAAGCAGGATATGCGGATATGCACGTGGCCACACCTGCGCCCTCGACACAAAGCGGGAGACTATGCAAGCCAGCATCGCACACGGTTTTAGAGTCAGAGTCATATGAGTTGTGTGAAGCAGACTGACAACTCCAACAGAATCCAACAGATACCGAATTCACTGTGGTCATCCGCGATGGCGCCGTGCAATGATGCACAACTGCTTCCACACGTCCGGAACAGCTACTATGCTGCTTGCTTCTGACAATTCAGTAACCGGTGGCCTCTTGTCACTGTCCTATGGACTTTGTCTGGCCTCAGCATGCCTCGGCAATCTCAGACCTCCAGGCCATTATGGCGATCCCGTGGGATGCGTCCGAAGAAGAAATCCGGAGGAAGTATCCCGGAAGCAAGGAACTTCACGTCATGCGCAGTCTTCATCAGGTACTAGATTACGCTTTGTTTCAGAATCGTGTTTGTAAATCTTGCAGCACAGTGGCACCTTTTGCATCTGTGCCGGTCAGTAGAAATAAAGAACGTTTACTACCAGCATTTAGCACAGCCGCAGCACTAATCTCACGTTGATGGGCAGGGTGACACAGTGCCCTGCCAAGATGAAAATATCGTAGGCAGCAGCCGCGAACCAGGTACCACTCGCTCATGCGCGAATTTCACCCTGACAAAGGCAGGCTTCCAGCTACAGCAGTCGCATGTGTATGTGAACTACGATCTTGCACGCAGATGCTTTCAGGTGGCCGCCGCATCGGGGGAGCTGCAGTAGCCGAACACTTCCATGAGGTAAGAGGACTGATTGCAAGGTAGTCGTTTTGTGATGTCGTGATGTCTGCAAGGCACATCTGTGTACCTGTGTTTATCTACAAAAAAGTTATTCTTCCACAGAAACATGTGCATGCATTCATGGCTGTTGCTGTGTCAAGGTGCAAAGTGCATATCGGTGTCTCTCTCATCCCACGAGGAGGTCAGCAACAGTCTGGTTCTGTCTCGACAGGGACCTGTTGTGTTGTCAAAGCTCTCGTCGCATGATGAAGATGTTTTCGCTCCCGCTGTGCCCAGGCTGCAATATGATTTGAGAACCTTTGGACGATCTTCCATCGCTGTGGGATCGGAAGGCGAAGAGCTTTTGATGCGCTGCAAGGATGGGCAATGGCTTGCGAGTAAGAGGTGCTTCTGCAGCACACTTCTCGGGGGCTTTGAGTAAAGGCATGCTTTTTGGCGCAGATGTCTTCATTGTGAAGCGAACAGTTCCTGCCAAACTACGAGGAGCAAGCGGAAATCGATCTTCGAAATATGCAGGCCTCGAGACTCAGAGTGCGCCCATGGATGGGTCGATGAGCATAGTTCACATGAGAACTTGCAGAACGCTTGCTGGGCAGGTGCAGCTTCGCGGGATCTTGCAGAAGGAACGGAAAGTCAAAGGGTTGATTGTCACGCAGGCCCAGGGGCGGCCATGCGTTTGGATTCACCTTCAAAGTGCATGACTGAAGCACAAGCCGCCTTGCAGTTCTGACATCTCATGCGTTGAAGCAGCAAGTCATCCAAGTCTATTTGCAGTCACCAAGTAGACATGCTGCGAAGCAGGGCATGTGAAGATGGTATGTTGAACCTTACGTGCTATTTTGATTTCGGTCAGGCCGTTTGGTGTTGCATGTCTTCTGGGGGGCTGCGGGTGGAGAGGCTGGGGAATGATCAGAAGTATTTACACTGTTTAAAATTCTGTAAATTCTTCAACTTTTTAAATCCGACGATTTGAAAGTTTTAAGAATTCTAGAAAACTAAATGCAACACCTTTAAACTGTTAAGTCGGCTGTCAATCTGGAGAGCTGAGTCTGTGATGTAATGGGCTGGGGCATGCGCGGTGCTGGGGGCTGGGGCTGATTGGGGGTGGGCTGCGCTGGCTGGCGCACGCCTAGGCCTGCTGGAGTTGGAGAGTTGGCAAACCCTACTGCGACTTCAACACATGACTGGCCAGTCAGGCACTTTATGGCAACTTGCAGCTGCGTGAAGAGATCTTGCACGAAGCCTTGGTGGGGGAGAGGCCAGATCATGCGTTGACACAGCTGGCAGTACCTGAAACGTTAACGCTTTGTCAGACAGTCTCCTGTACACTGCATAAGTTAACGATCTGCGTGTCCACCTCAAAGTATCATTTGAGCAAGCTTCCCTCTTCCGCGGAAAACGTTAATAGATGTTAAACACATCTGCGACATAGCTGCGCCATCGACACCAAATTTGCCAATCGGCATGAAACACCAGACTCATGCAGGCCTATACGCGGAGAAGACTTGGCAGGGCCGTGGATAGATGTCACCACGGCTCTGCAGTGCTTGGCGGCTTGGTTCTGCGAGTTCTGGTTGTTGTTTTTAGGGCTTCCCTTCCATTTCAGATATCCATGCATCCTGTGGCTCATGGACTCATGGTCCCGGTTGTGCGATGTCTGCACGGCATGAGCGGCATAACTATTCGCACCTAAGGTGGAGGAACACAGGATTGTTTTACATGGCGGCATTACTGCATCGAAGGCAGGATTTTGTGGAAATGCAGTGTGTTGCGAACATATGTATGGCTTGTCTATGTGTGTCTGCATTAGCGAGCGACGTCCCCAAAGCGTTCTACAACAGTGAACACTTCATGGGAGAGCACATGCCATGACAATGACCACCCAACCACCCCACCCCATGAAACGTAGAATGTTACACATCCCGGTGCCTGTCTGTTTCACGTATCACATGCATGTATCTAGCCTGTTGCTCAAGGTTCTAGCAGAGTACCGATCTACAGCTGTGCGCCTGTAGCGAAAAGAACACCTGCGTTTGCCTGTGTTCCTGTACGCTTTGTGAGGGGATACATGCCCAGGTCAACGTGGTAGCGGAGCTCCCGGGAAACGGAAGCTAGCTCCACACAGGTGGAGGTACCGTAGGTACCCCAACCCAGTGGAGGCAACCGGATCCCCGGTGTGCCTTACCCAGGTGATCCAGGTGAAGGTGACCGGAGTCTTTCCGGTCTAATTCACTCAGGTGAAGAGAACCGGAAGATCAATTTCCCGGGGCTCGATCCTTGGGCAGTGCAATGGCTAGCTCTTTGTTGTGCCGTTTGAGCATGGTGAAGGAGATGATGATTACCTCCTCCAAGGTAACCAATCTTATGTGACGAATCACCGACATCTCCAAGAATTGCGCCGACTTTCTGTTTTCCAGCAGGTGACCACCAAAGTACCGCCGTCTTGTGACGGGCGAAGCAGTTGGTTTGCCTACGAGGATG